AATCGGTATGCCACGGCCCCAATTCTCTCAAGAATCACAAATGGCCCTATGTAGCGTGGGTTAAGTTTCCCTCGGCTTTGAAATCGGATGATCCCTTTCCAAGGTGAAACTTTCAAGAATACCTCATCTCCCACCTTAAACTCTAAGGCCCTCCGACGCTTATCGGCATAGCTCTTCTGTCTATCCTGGGCCGCCTTAAGCCTTTCGCGAATCATCTTCACTTTAGACTTGGTGATCTCCACCAATTCCGTGCTCTCGAGTTTGGCCATGCCAACCTCATCCCAACACAACGGAGTACGGCATCTTCTCCCATACAATGCCTCGTATGGAGGCATGCCGATACTTGCCTGATAACTGTTGTTATAGGCAAACTCAACAAGTGCTAAATGGTTGTCCCAACTTCCTTGGAACTCCAATGTACAAGCTCTCAACATATCCTCCAAAATCTGTATAACTCTCTCGGATTGTCCATCCGTCTGTGGATGAAAAGCAGTGCTGAATTTCAATTTCGTTCCCATAGACTCTTGGAACTTCGGCCAAAATCGTGATGTGAATCGTGGATCCCTGTCGGACACAATGGTTATAGGAACCCCATGTAGCCTTACGATCTCATCCACATACAATTTGGCTAACCTCTCAAGTGCATAGGTAGTGTTGATAGGTAGAAAATGTGCACTCTTTGTGAGCCTATCAACCACAACCCATACAGCATCATAATTCCTCACGGTCCGTGGCAGTCCTACCACAAAATCCATGGTCACGTGCTCCCATTTCCATTCTGGAATGGAAAGTGGCTGCAATAACCCAGCTGGATGCTGATGTTCTGCCTTAATTTGCTGGCAAGTAAGGCATTTACTGATGTACTCGGCTATTTCTCTCTTCATACCAGACCACCAGTAACTTTCTTTCAGATCACGGTACATTTTCGTACCTCCCGGGTGCATAGCATACGCCGATGAATGAGCCTCCTCTAAGATGGACTTTCGGAGCCCCTCATCCGATGGTACACACACTCGGTCACGAAATAATAAGAGACCATCATCTCTTTCCCTGAAGTCCTCCACTGGTCCCGCTTGCATGCGTTCCCGGATCCTCATGATTTCCTCGTCAGTTTCCTGACCCTTCTTGATCTCATCAAGCAAAGTAAGTCTCACCTCAAATCGTGCCAATAAGGCTCCATTACTGGATACCTCCAGTTGGGCTCTTAAAGCCCTCAAGTTAGCTATCAATGCCCCAGATGAGCTCTTCCGGCTCAAGGCATCTGCCACCACATTGGCCTTGCCTGGATGGTACTCGATTACCAGGTGGTAGTCTTTTATCAACTCCATCCACCGTCTCTGCCTCATGTTTAACTCTTTCTGAGTAAACACGTACTTCAAGCTCTTGTGGTCAGTGTATATGTGGCATGTCTCCCCGTAGAGATAATGTCTCCATATCTTAAGTGCAAACACCACTGCCCCGAGCTCCAAATCATGAGTAGGATAATTTACCTCATGTTTCTTCAATTGTCGCGAAGCATAGGCAATTACCCTCCCCATTTGCATCAACACACATCCAAACCCTTGGATGCTGGCATCACTATAGACATCGTACCCCATACCCTGTTTGGGCAAGGCAAGTACCGGTGCCTCAGTCAATCTTTTCTTCAGTTCAATGAATCCTTTCTCACATTTGTCATCCCATACAAACTTAGCTCCCTTTCGAGTGAGCTTTGTCAATGGCGACGCCAAAACAGAGAACTTCTCCACGAACTTTCTGTAGTAGCCTGCTAACCCAAGAAAACTACGAATTTCCTTGACGTTCTTTGGCCTCTCCCATTCGGTGATGGCTTCTATCTTCTTGTTATCCACCGCAATTCCCGATCCCGAAACCACATGCCCGAGGAAGCCAATCTCCTTAAGCCAAAATTCACATTTGGAAAATTTGGCATAGAGTTGCTTCTCCCGTAGTGTCTCAAGAACGAGTATCAAGTGCTCCTCATGTTCTTCCTCACTCTTTGAGTAGATCAAGATGTCATCTATGAACACAATCACGAATCGGTCCAAGTATTTGTGAAATACTCGGTTCATCAAGTCCATGAATGCCGCCGGGGCGTTTGTTAACCCAAACGACATAACAAGGAATTCAAAATGCCCATACCTTGTGCGGAAAGCACTCTTCGGTATGTCCTCCTCCTTAATCTTCAATTGATGGTACCCCGACCTCAAGTCAATCTTTGAAAACACGGTTGCTCCTCGTAGTTGATCAAACAAGTCATCAATCCTAGGCAAAGGATACCTATTCTTGATTGTGACCTTGTTCAGCTGACGATAGTCAATGCACATTCGAAGTGTTCCATCCTTTTTCTTCACAAAAAGGACCGGTGCTACCCACGGGGAGTGGCTTGGTCTAATGAAACCGTTATCCAAAAGCTCTTGCAATTGGGTTTTCAACTCGTTAAGTTCTGCGGGTGCCATGCGGTATGGCGGTATGGAGATTGGTTTGGTGCTGGGCTCGACCTCGATCACAAATTCAATCTCCCTATCGGGTGGAAGTCCCGGTAAGTCCTTTGGAAAGACATCCGGATACTTGCATACCACCCTCACATCATCAATGCTCGTCTCTTCTTTTGTTTTGTCTACCACGTATGCTAGATATGCGTGGCAACCCTTTCTCATCATACTCCTAGCTCTTACGGCGGATATGATACAACTATTGGATTTGGCCCGATCCCCCTCGAAGCGTAAGGTTACCCCTTCATCGCCTTCGAGTTCAAGTATCTTTGTGTAGCAATCGACCCTAGCATGATGCTTCTCAAGCCAATCCATCCCCAGGATTGCATCGAATTCAATCATACTCAGCGGTACGAAGTCACACGTCAAGTTTTGGCCCTCCACTTCCACCTCACACGATGGATAGTGGCTATCTCTCTCGATGTCTTCCCCTAGAGGTGTGGATACCAATAGGGCTTGAGCCATCGGTACAAGTGGTTCTTTGAATCCCCCGGCAAACGCCTCACTCACGAATGATCGTTGCGCCCCGGTGTCAATGAGGATTCTTGCGTCTCTCCCGTTAATCTTTAGTGTTCCTACATTCATAAGCAATGTAAGACACACTCCCCACTTATTAGACTCATTTCTTAGGTTATAGAGTACCCCGGCTATGGTTTGGATGATCGTCAGCTAACGCCCCATCCCGATTCCATCCCGGTTCCCACCTAAAAATCAACATCGTGCACCAATAAGGGAAAGCCGGCCGCTTTTCATGAAAGCCGGCCGGTTTTCATGCCTTTGCCCTCGGCTCGGAATGAGGGGTTACGTAAGCCGGCCGGTTTTTGCCAAAGCCGGCCGGTTTTCGGTCGCCGAAAGAATTACAGATTTTTCATTTATAAAAGCCGGCCGGTTCTTACGAAAGCCGGCCGGTTTTCATTAGCAGCGCCTCACACCGGAGATGCCTGAACACAAGCCGGCCGGTTATTATTATTTTCCATTTGGGTTGGCTGCTAGAGTGCTAGATGGGTGGGGCTGGGCAGTTTGGGGGTGGGGAGGGGTTGGAAATAATTCCAAACAACAAAATTAACAAAAATTTAATACAGTCCCGGGCCTGAACCTGGTACCGGTACAAACCAGGCCAGTACCGAACCTAATTTCCTTAGTCCTAAAGTCCACCCGGGCCTGAGATCCGACCCAGCCTGTCCCAGTCCATACCTAGTACCAATCACAAACAATTTACCAACACGTCTCCTTTGAATCCCCTCTTAAGGCTGACAAGTCTTCAAGAACCGATAAAGTTTTCAGCCATGAGTAATACACTTATATTTTATACTTTAATATATAAAATACTCCCTCCGTTCCCAAAAATACTTCTCACTTTCCTTTTTGGGCCGTTCCCAAAAATTCTTCCCACTTTCCTTTTTTGGACAATTTGTGTGGCTCACATTCATTTTACCTTTTTCTCACACAACCACAACCACACATTTCCACTTTATTCCACTTTCTTAATAGGCGTGCCAATTCAAACCGGGAAGAATTTTTAGGAACGGAGGGAGTATATATTAAGTAGCTAGATGTAGAATGTATGTATTAAGTGGATATAATAATTGTATAAGAATTAAATATTAGAGTATAATGGAGAATTGGAGATTGGAAAATAAGTATATATAAAATATAAGTAGAGAAGTAGATATTATTATGTATTAAGTATATAGTAATAGTTTATAAAGTATATTTAATACTTTATTATATAAAGTATATATTAAGTAGATATAGTATGTATGTATGTATTAAGAGATATAAGTAGAGATTAAGTAGATAAGAAATATAAGTAATATAGTATATGTAGATAATAATATATAAGTAGATAAGTAATATATATAAGTAGATATAATAATTGTATAAGTATTAAATAGTAAAATAAAATATAAAGGAGAATAAGAGAATTTGAGAAGATGAATATGGAGAATTGGAGATGAGTAGAGAGTAGGATTTAGGTAGAGTTGGAGAAGAGGTGTGAAAAAATGTTTAAAATTAGGAGTATTTATAGGTTTTTTTTTTAACCCCAACCCCCACCCCACCCAAAGCCCCCTGACCCCCCCCCCCCCTGGTACCACCCAACGGCTATATAGCCGTTTGGGTGACCGTTGAGCCACCAAAAGAAGCAAAAAAAAAATCTTTTTTTTTTAAATTTGGACCGTTAGGCCCGGGCCCGACCCGGCCGGGCCGGGCCTCCAAAATCAGGACCCGAGCCCGGTCCCGCTTACCCAACCGGGTCTGTGCCCGAACCGGACCCGGACCCGAGAACCGGGCCGGTTCCGGGCCCGCACAGTGGCGGGCCGGGCCGGTCCCGGGCCGGGCGGCCCGAACCGGGTCCACGCCTACTTTCATGGAAGAGCTTCACGGGCGGGGATGGTCTGACAAATTGAAGGAGTCTTTTATATTTTGAATAGGACAACGAATTTCTGACTTTAAAATCACTAACGATGACAAGCAGATCAATATGATAAAAGGAAACTGTGTTACTGTGTGTACTTGAACTATGGATGCATTTCATTTTGGACTATTGAATATATGAGACCAAGTTGCACATCCAAGAAGAAAATTCCAAGGAAAATATTTTCTTTTAAAGTGATCGACTCAAATCCAAAAATCATTTTCAAGGGAACACTAATATCTTTCACAGGCAGCAAAATCTACTCATATCCGATGAGAGGAATAAAATAAAAGCGAACATAAAAAATTCATTGGACTGAATGGTTAGGCAGAGATACATGCGAACACAACCAGCCTAGAACAATCATGCTAGTAGAAGAAACCAAGAACTTTTCCTCCCGCGTTCTTTCTTCTGGCTTCCTCGTGATCCATGATTCCAGCAGATGTAGTCAGCACTATGTATCCAAACTGAAATTCGACAAATGATTACCAGGATATATATTTAGTCAGCAGTTCACTATGTAAACTGATGTAAAGACAGCCAAATTCAAGTATGCCAAATTGGTGTGCATCCCATGTGTAATTTCAGAAATCTAAAAAATGAAAGTGCATACAGCCTACTACAATGTCCCAAAAAGAAATGATTTGCCAATGTACGACAATAATGGTAGAATTATCCAAAATGAAGTTATACTTGCATTAGTATATTTCCAAGTTGTTTGTTTGTTTGACTAAATTTATCATATCTAACCAGTTTGACTCTTTGGGAATTTTCAATTACATACTGCATTTATCCCATTTTATTGCAAAATTGCTTTTTGGAACAAATTGAATGGAAACAAATGATATACATAATACAAAATATTTTCCTATTATACTCTCAAAGGTAGGCAACTTAGTGAAGTGGTGCAAATATGTTTGCATGTCCTATAAATATTGGACAAGTACAAAATAGTCGAGTCAAAAAGGAGTAAAGGGTCAGTTTGGTCCTCAAAGTTGCAAAAAAAGCGTCAAATAAGTCCTTATATAGAAGATTCTGTCCGGACGTGCCATTTGAGGTGGCTCCCGGTGGAATTTTTTGATATTTTTTTTTGAGGATCTTATTCATTAAGTCTAGTTTACCCATACCAAATTTCAGCTAAAAATTCAATCGGGAAGACATTCAAATGAATTCTTGAAAATTACTGCACTTTTAACGGCACAGTTATCTTCAAGAATTCATTTGAATGTCTTCACGATTGAATTTTTATCTGAAATTTGGTTTGTGTAAACTAGACTTAATGAATAAGATGCTCAAAACATTTCATCAAAAAATTCCACCGGGAGCCACCTCAAATGACACGTCCGGACCGAATCTTCTATATAAGGACTTATTTGACTCCTTTTTTGCAACTTCGAGGACCAAACTGACCCTTATCCCAGTCAAAAAGGAAAATTTACATGAGAAAAACTAAAACAGTAGCATTTCTGGATTGAGACAGGGAGTAAAACAAGTAGCACACTGAATGAAGTACTTTGCATGTCCATTTAAACATGAGGTCATAGCAAAACCCGCTACTCAAGGTGATAGGTTATTAGATCGACACTTAGGATATACAGGACTCACTCCTTCACAGAGACCCTCAACTCTCAAGTGTTCGTCTAAAAAGACATTCATTGTGATAATTGCAACTACTCAGGTCTTGCAAATATTTTTTGGATTACCTTAGATTTATTATAGGCTGCATCTATAATGTATACACCTTAATCTAACCCACTAATAGAAAGAATGATACAAAAATAATTTGATTAAAACATCATTGGGAATCCAATATACTTGAAAAATGTGAATACAATCAGTCTGGACCTGAACAATATCATCAAGACCAAATAAATCATGATTTTTGGTTACTTGATCTTTCAATTTACTTTTACTAAGATATTTACTAAACTAATTATAAACCCATGAAAGAAATATCATTGAAAATTAACACAAAAAATATAAATTTAAAGATTCAAAATTTGACTCTGTCAAAAATGATAATTTTAAACTTATAGGTTGATTGACAGAAGAAAACTGCAAATTTCAAATCTAAGTAATTGTTTAGAATATAAATCAATATCACAAAAACCAACTTAGTCACTCAGTGATTGTGATATAAACAATTTATTGTGCCAAAAAATAGCAACATTAATGGTTGAAAGATCACAACATAACACCACTTGTTATGGCATAAAGAGAAGACTGATCAACCTAATTCAAGATAGTTTCAGGTAAAAATAATAATCAGGTGATTTTAGGATACCTGTCTTGATGGAAGTAACCTAGCAGTCCAACTCTCAATATCCTTAACACCAACATCAAAACGAGGACTAATCACGCCACACTTGTTTAACCTTCCATTCAATTCAACCACAATTTTACCAGATCTGTGATCATCTACATACTCAAACTCTCCAATGTATCCTACAAGGAAAACAAGAGTGATATAAGTATTCATCATTCACCAAAAACCAAAGCATCTCAAAATAAAACAAGCATACCATGCTTTTGCATCACTAGAAGAAACTTAATAATGACTTTTGAGGAAGGCCTTATCATGACCTGTCGCTTCCCCCTCTTTTCAGCATTGTACATGCTCTTAAGAGCATCATTCAGCACGCTGACTCTCACCATCTTTAAGCAATAACGCTATATCAGAATTAGATCCATTAAAAAGGAACATTTTGTTAGTAACAGGGGGGAATGCGGATTTTAAATGCAAAAGGTGATAATGATTGGAAAGCCTGCAGTAAGAAATGTCTGCTTCGTAACATAAACCCTAATCCAAATGCAGGAAACGGACATCATGCAAAAAATATTGATTCAGAGAGAATTAAAGCAACAATGTATAAACAAAGCATGAAAGTTTGAAAAAAAATCAATGAACGGAACTTTAACTCCTTTTGGATGATACCTTGCACGGCGACTGCGGACGAGAGGAAGGATATGCTGCAGGCGAACTCAGACAGAAGAGTTCGGCTGAGAGTTTAAGGAAGCCGACTTGGGCCTTTTCTTAGGGTTCTACTGGCCTCATAACTAGGCATGGGCTTATATTATAGTGGGCCAACTAACGAATAAGTTATTGAAAACAATATACGGAGTACTTTATCAAATCAATTTCAAAGTTCAAACTCACCATAACCTATTCACATTTTTTATTTATCGGTTATCACGTCTCAAATGGGAGGCGGCGGCAAGTGTATTGCGGCAATCGGCTATCTTCAATCAACATATTTCAAATTGATGTCAGAATTATTGTAACGTTTCCATAAAAGCAGTCATCTCCCTACGACAATTAGGGTTTCGTTTTCCCGCTTTCGTCATTGACGAATAGCGGCCGTCGGTCGATTTCGATCGTGCAAGCAGGCTCGGGACCAGGGATGCGGCACTTTGATTGTCAGGGCTCGACTACTGCTGTTGTTTCTGGTCGAAGGTCAAGTGTAGACAAAGAAAAGGCGATTAAGTTGTGGCGGAGCTTGAGTTCGATTCAGCAGCAAGGGATATCAATGGAGGATATCGTCAATCAATACAAAAGCATGGCTATTGAGGCAGATGAGAGGTGGGCACGTCCCCCTCCCGAGCCGCCACCATGGAGTGCAAGAGAGTCTAGGGTTCGGAAGAAGATGAGTGAACTCTGTTTTAATTCTGTTTTATTTTGTTTGTGTTTTTCTTCTGAATTGCATGTTGTTTTGGATGTGTTCTTATTTCCTAGCAGTAAGATTCTAGAATTTAAGTCAGGTGATGAGAAGTCTGGTTTATCAGTCATTGGCTCAGTTAAGCCCATTACAAGATCAACGAATTTTATTGCTTCTTCAGAGGTGATATATTTCAAGTTTGGTTCAAGGGCGGACGGCAGACAGAAAACTTTTTATCGTTTTGTTTTCTGCTTTTTCTTTGATTGTATTATCAGCCATGTGACGAATGTTTTGACGATAAAAAAAGTTTTTATTTTTTTACTCCGTATTAGTTTGATGTAACTAGCTGCTGGATATGCTCAATTAACTATTCTAACTAGACACTTACAAAATATCAAGAACATGCATAATTTACAGTTTAATTTATTAGTATGTGTACTTGAAGAGATAAAATTGAAATAATTTACTTATTTTGCATTTTTTGTTCCATTTGAAATTTGAATGTTAGATTTAAAAGTTGATAGTTTATTGACTTTATTTGCCTATGGTTCGGGTATAATTCCCTCAAAGGCTCAAACGTATTTTTGCACCATTTGCAATGTTTTTAAAAATGTTTTTGATTGGATTAATTTTTAATTGTGTGGTCTGATAAACGTTTGATGCATATTTATTTTGATATTCTCGTTCAAAACTGATTAGTTTATATCCGATTTTGCTTTAAACATGGCCTAGTCTAGTGTTGGACCAAAATCAGTCTAATATGAAATATCTTAGGTGTTTGTAATTTTTCTTTTTTTTAAATCAAATAACTAATTTATTATTAAGGTATAACAAAAATGCAAGAGAATGAATAGCCTGAGGCTACAATGGAATGAGACATAGAACGGAACTTATTCAATGAATCCTTCCAGATCAATAACCCCACAATAATGTAGTCTAGTCTAACAGTCTTGCTGATCTTCTTACTACTCCAAAGAGAAATTAAAAAATTACCCAACTAAAAGATCCGACTTCACTAGCCACCGGAAAGGGAGAATTGGTTTGACCAGCAACGAACAAAGGGAAATCAGTCGAGTAGAAATTTCTTGAAGCATCGGTTTGACCAACAAGAGGTTGAAACATCAGAACAACAAGGTTGAAAAAGCTTCACCAGATCAATTACACCGATTAGAAACACACAGCCTCTAGACATTGCTAGGAGAATAACATACCACACGCTCACATGAAAATAGAAATTGAAAAAGAGCGAAAGCATATAAAAACTTTTGATTCGATCTTTCATTGCATAGAGAATGTCTTCATCTTCCAAAATCGGATCTTGAAAAGGGTTGGGGATGGCCGCCTAGGGTTTCCCCTAGGGCCGGCTCTCTATATCGTTTGACTATGCTTCGGTCTTAACCTTTAGCTAAGAAAAACATTTTATTAACAATGCAATTAAATGGTATCTTTAGCAAACGTTGTTAATAGGTGTTTGTAATTTTTAAAGTAGTCTCGACACAATATGATATGGTGTATTCCCGTTTATTTAATAGGAGTAATGTAAGGGAGTGTTTGCAATTGCTTCAACTTTAAAGAAGTGATTTTTTAAAGTGATTTTGGGAAAAGTGATTAATAGTAAAAGTTGGTAGTGTTTGAGGAAAAAGTGATTCTGAAAAAGTAAAAGTTGGTAGTGTTTGGTAAAAGAAGTACTTTTTGTATAATAGAAAAAGTGAAAAGCAGTTTAAAGCACTCTTCCACCTGCTTCCAGCTTTTAGCTTTTAAGTGATTAATTTAAGCAGAAGCTGTCATTTGAAAACACTCTTTTTAACTTTTTTTAAGCCAAAAGCTGAAAAGCACTTTTTTTAATCAACCACAAACACTCCCTAAGTCTATACGAAGTACGTAGTATCACATACTGATATGAGTGGACAGTCGGTTCCAGGCCATCATGGACATCTAGTTCCTAGAAATAAATATGGGGCCCGAGACCTATATTTCTGATTCCCGACTGGTTTTAATCTCGTAGGTTCCTTTCTTTTTACAAATCTCGCAAACATAAAATACGTAAGCCTCGTTTGGATAATAGCGGATCGATGAAACCGTTGATCATTTTATGGGTGAAAACGCTGCAAAATGCAACGGGTGGGGTGCAATCCGCCGAAAACCAAACGACACCGTAGTATAAAAACATATTTTACCCTAGGAGTATAATTTTGAAAAACAGGAAGATAAAAAGAAAAAAAAATGACTCAAATCCAATTTCAACACTATACCTTTACTACATACCCAATTTCAATTCACATAATTTATTAATTTTGATTCCTCAATTAGTGCTGAACAAGGAATTTAATGATTAACCAAATAAAACTTGTGTAATAGAAACCCCATAAACACATAATATACCGTTGGTATTTCCCCATGTACTAAATTAAATTCAAAAGACAAAAATATGACTTATTAAAAAAAACAATTAAAAAAAGTGACATATTTAGTAACTACTCGTAGTTATCAATGACTCATCATCTGAAATACATTATAGTGATTCTTTTCCAGTTACTCATAGTGTCATACATAGTGATTAGTCATATTTTTGTCCAAAAACATAACTAGTCATTTTTTGTCCCGTGAAACTCTAGTAGTAATTTACATGTCATTTTTTCTATACATTAAGGGAAAATGCAAACGAGTCAGCTTTTTATTACCGTTTCTTGGCCTTCGAATTTTAACTCTTTATTGGACTTCTTAAATTTTACGTAGTATAAGAAATAATTACATATTTATGACTAAAATGAAGACTAGTTTCAAAATTGTAACTAGTGACTAATGCAGTAATGAAACCATAGTAACGCATGTTCCATTTTTATACTTTAGTCATTGTGACACTGCATTGTAGTAACTAATAGTCATAATAGGTTTTATTTTAGTATTATTTTTTGTAAAAAACTCATTTTATAAAGAAATAGTCAGGAAGATTTAACCATTATTGTATTGAGAAAAACAACTGAGAGAGAAGCTCCGATTTTTCCTAGGGCGTGAGCCGCTAGGTTTGTTTTCTCCGATTTCGATCTCATCGATCGAAGATCAGCTTTCTTGTTTGTTTCGATGCCTTCATACCGAGATAGCAGGCGGCCGGCGTGAGTCTAACGGCTGGGTCGTGGCGTGAGGGATCGGGATCTAGTGCGCGAGCCTGGTTTCTGGGTTCGGCCGCGGAAGAGAGGAGAGGAGAGCTCGAAGGACTTGGGCATCGAGATCGAAGGAGGAGGACTGCAGATGGAGATGACTGGAGTCGGTAAGCAGGGGATCGGAGATCAATTTCACGCAGATGAGGAGAGCCGAGCAGTGCAAGGTACAGACAAATTTCAAGAGCAGATCACTGATGAACAAAAGGACAAGAACGAATTGGCGATTGTTGATGATGAAGAAAAGGCGGTCGAGTCGGAGGTAAACCGCTTTGATGCAACAACCATCAGTGCGAGGGTCCGGCCTCCTCCAGAACCACCGCCAAGGGTTGATCGACGTGTTTTGGAGTTTGCTTATTTATCTTTTCTGCATTTTAATTTCCAAGTTAAGATGTTTGTGCGTTGTTGTTATTTTATTATATGTTGTAAGACTCTTGCATTAGGTTTGGGGATGTGAGGTATACGGTAATCGTCGTTTGCTTTATTTTGCCCAAGTTAGGTCTAGCGAGTTATATTGCTTTGTCAAAGGTGATTAACTCAGAGTCTCGGCCAATGACAGATGGTTATATGTGGTCCTTTTACGCTCGTGTACCCCTGCTTACCCCTGATGAATGCTATTTTAATGATATAAGCACCCTTACGATTAAAAAAAGAAAATAGTCAGGAAATAACTAATGAGTAAAAGTAAAACAGCCTTCAGAGCCCTTGAAGAATAACACTACTGCAAAGTGCAAACTCAATTCAGTTAGCAGGGCTTTTATTACATACTTCGTATGTTTCTGTATAGTTATTACATCTTAAACTTAAGATGAGCAAGGGAGTAGTTTGATGATTAACCACTAACCTAATACTCCCTCCGTCCCTTATTGTTGTTCCATTTGCGGATTACGAGGTTGACCGACGATAAAGTTAAATGATCCCTGTGAAAACTCGGATTATTTTTAGTAAATAAAATTTACATATTCAGAAACTACATTAAACCCGCTACAAAGCCTGCAAAAAATAATTCAACTTTTATAAAATTTTGATATAAAAAGTAAGAGATCAAGAGTGATTTAAGTTGACCAATGAATAGTAAAATGGAACTTCTTTCAGGGACAGAGGGAGTAAAAGAAATCCCAAGTTATGCATCTCCATCATGTATAAATTTAAGAGCTAAACGCATAAACTATGTACATGAAGGACATCATATATGACAGGAAAAATAAGTTCATAGTAATTTATTGTGTGCTTGTATAAAAAAGAAATTAGATACAGATTTTTAAAGCAAGCTTCACAGAAAATAGCATGAATCTTTAACATTTTACAGAAATAAGAGATTATTAAACCTAAGCGACAAATCTGAGAGAGTGTATTACCATTAAAATCTGGAACATAAATGAAATAAAAACTTCATAAGAGGAAGAAAGTATAGCAAAAAGAGGAATGCGATTACCATCAAAATATGATATTCTAGCTGTAGGGAAGAAGCCATAAAAGGAATATGCATTGTGAGCTTGTATGACACAAGAAATCTTTCATCAAGCCTTATAACTCAAAGACTTAAAGCAACCTACAAATTTGAGGTAAGGTTGGACCACTATGTATTAATTACAAAACATCCAGAAAGACTTCCTAATAATACGGAACAATAAGGTGAAGAGAAATATCAGAATCTTGCTGTAGTAAAGATTATCCCACAAGTGTATTAAATAGTATGCAAACACATAACACGTAGTTTATCCCATATTAGGCCCATACCAATACCATAAGCCCAAGTGTAGAACTCACTCCTAAGAGACCTGCCAATTAGGAGGAGGGAACACTTTGCTTATAAGTCACCGGTCAAGCTCATACTTTTTTAAAATTTAAAGCAAATCAGTTAGAAAAATGCAGAAAAACAGAACACATGTCTTGGTTTAATTATAATAACCATGTGATTATAATAAACTAGAATCACAACAATGAGGATAAATGCAACTGGATTAATAAAGTTTATTTTCTCCTCACAATTCTCCTCACAAGTTGTAATTCAAAGAGATGATAAATAAACTTTATAAAAAATCATATCGAGTGCCAAGCAGAGAACTAACTAATGATTAAAAGTAAAAACTGGTGCAAGACACCTTGAAGACCCACATTACTGCCGGCATAACTTCAGCATACATTATTGGTTATCCATGTAAAGAAGTTATGCATCACCCATTCGAATCCACTGATAATTATAGTTTCTTGATAATCAAGTAAAACCAATGAGTTTCAACATATCCGACCAAATAAGTAACAGTGCAATTCAAAACATTCACTAAATCAAATGATCAATATAAGTAGTTCAACTTGGTGTGAAGTAGAATTTTAGAAGCAAAGAAAACTAAATAAATAACACTTTTCATGCTAAATAAAATTTAAACTTCCGTGGTAAAACCGGGCAAAAAAATCATCAGTCGCGGTGGTTTTCAGCTCAAACCATTCTGGATCTTCTATATCCAGTTCCGTGTAAATTTGATCATATCCTGTAGGTGTGGAAACAATGTTGACACTCTTTGTTACCTGAGTCAAATAAATAATCTTCTCCGCTTGAGTCTCTAAATTTACAGAAATTAGATATGGCACATGACCCAATTCATCCCACCGAAAAACGGTATCATCCGAATCCAACAAGTAGATTGAATCATCACAATCAGCATATGGCACTACAAGCAAATGATAATGACCGTCCTGAATCCATATTCCAGCCGGAAGCCAAAGTTCCTTCATATGACGACCAAGCACTGGTTTCCGGGAGTCATGCTTGTACATGTTGCCACCAAATTCTATGGTTGGTTGTTTATCCCAACCGACATTATTATGGCTTTCACTCATTAGCCATATCTCCAAGCTCTTCTTATTCCTATCGGCATAAATAATCGACGCAATTGTGTCATTCATGACTGTCACCAAATCTAGTGCATCATTGGCTATGTGTGGCAAGCCAAGTCCAACCAGAGCAAATATTCTTTTCAAGGATGACCTGGATATTACTAATGGACTTTTGATTTCCAAATATATGAGTATTTTCACATCTTCCAAAAAAGTGACATGCTGCCTAACCTTTCTTCATTCGACACACGTGGCCTTCCCTTTCTTTCTTCGACGCAAAGCATCAACGCCAAAGCTGCTATGGACGCAAGACACGAAGCTCCAATGCCAGACTCATTCTCTTTTATCTTTCTTTTAAAATAATATCCAGAAATCAAAGTAATTTGTGACATGTCCAAAATCCTAATCAGAAATCAAAGTAGTTGGTGAAATACGTAGTATTTAAAAGATGGTTTCCTTAAATATTATCGATTGTAAAAATTGACTTGAATAGGAGTAACAAAATTCAAAATAGGACCCTCGTGTTTTATTCCCTAAATAGAAGTAATTTCTGTCAAGTTTGGAAAAATTTATCATGTTTAAAGCCTGGTAATGTCAAACTTGACAGAAATTATTTCTATTTAGAAATATAAACATGATAGTTCTATTTTGGAATTTCAAAACGTTCTTACTCATATGAAGAGAATTTTGCTACATATTAATCATATTAAAGGTAACGTACGAACAATTACGATCACTTTGGTGACGAGTGCAAAACAATTATAATCATTAAAATTGCTATAACAATCACTAAAGAATAAAAAGTGATTTTTTTGTTCACTATTTTTTTTTATTTCAATCATGTATTTGTAATTATTCCTATTAAAAATGACAATATAAAAGTGATATAAATACTCCAATAATTAGTTTTTCTTCTCTTGATAATGCCAAGTATTAAATGGCCATAAAATAATAAATTTCTTATTAGGTTTTCTTCTCTTGCTAATGCCGGCGAGTATTTAATCACTTAATCCGATTATTGAAGTGGTTTTCCACTTTTCCCTTTTCAAACAGTGACGAGGAAAAGTAAATAAAAATTGGGAAAGATTTGGACTTAGAGATTAGTTATTTATTTTCAATTGAATTGTAATTTTCTACTCTGTTATAATCTGAGGGTGGTTTGTTTAAATTCTTATTTTGGTCCATTTTATTATACGTTTGTTTTATGTTTATTTTATAATTTTTCAAGTCCAAGACATGGTCTCGTCTAAATTTGGAATTTGATTTGGTTGATTTGATTCGGGACTAAAATGAGTTCAACAAAAAAATCGTCTTTATATCCGGTCAAAATTGCATTGTAACCATCGAAGGGATCAATGTAATAACCACAAAAAGTATTAACAATGTAATGGTAGTAATGTATTGTGTATTTGTCATTTTTCTTTGTTTACATATATTTCTTCCGTTTTGTTGAATGCAAAACTTTTGTTATTCCTCTCATATTTTGAAAATTAAAATGAGATGAATTTAAAAATATTTTTAAAAACATATGATTTATAATACATAAATAAATAAAATGTAATCAAAGTAGAATATGTGAATAGTGCAAAACTCACGAAACAAAGAAACAATTGTCTATGCATACACAATACAAATGGCATGCAAAATGACGTGTACAAAAAACGTGAACACCAAGCATGATTGTAAATATAATGAATACTAGAAAATACACAAAGTGGGTCATTTTAAGTCACCATTTTTCCCCATCAATGTAAATAAAATATCGTTCTTGATGAAAATATAATAAGAAATATTGATGAATATATGATCAAAATCAACAAGGTAGTTGATAAAATGTGACCATGGTGATGTTCAAATTTATATTGTAGAGACCACGATCTATTATACAAAATTTCATAAAATGTGCACCCATTAAATAATTAGATAGAAGTAAATAGAAATACATGGATGAAACTGAACCCAATCAATCGTGGTCTCTTTGAGACGATTTTGCCCACAACACAAGCAACAATTGTCTCCCAAGATAGAACGCTTTCTACGTTCCCGAAGGACATCGGCGAACTCAATGATGCAACAAAGAATTTTCGTAGAGTAAAGTTGAAAAGTGTAAGTTGCTCGCTCATTATTATGCTTACTTTTTCTTCTTGCAAAATTTACATTGGTACCTACTTCATTGTTATACACATTTTTACACACGTTTGGAAGACTTTTTTGTCTATCACTTGAATAATTGGATGAAGTGATTACATACTCGCCATTAGCAAGAGAAGAAAAACTAATAAGAAATTTATTACTATCTCTGTCTCATTTTATGTGTCTCATTTAAGATTGGCACAATTAATAATTAAGTGATTGAAAAGGTAAAAGTTGTGGTTGATATTTGAGTATATATAATAAAATGAAATGATGTGGATCACATATTTCTTTCCAAAAAGGAAAATGTTAAACTTATTTGGGATAACTCAAAAAGGAAAGTAAGACAGGTAAAATGGGAAACAGAAATTATTTTATATCCATTTAATACTCGGCATTAACAAGAGAAGAAAAACTAATAATTGGAGTATTTAATACGTAGTATCACTTTTATATTGTCATTTTTAATACTCCCTCCGTATTTGAATGTTCTCTGCAATAGGTTTGGGCATAAGATTTAAGGGTAAAATAGTGGGGGTAATGAATAGTGTGTAAAAAGTAGGAGAGATGATGGAAAAGTATGAAAAAGAAGATAAAAAGTAGAAAAAGTAAGGGGTCACCCTCAGTATCATATTTGATAAAGTTTGTGTGGCTCAAATCGTTCCAACTTTATTCTTACTTTATCAATTAATATCAATCTTAAGAGGGATGGAGGTACTATATAATTCTCCATACGACCAAACTTGGACTTCAATTTTTTTTTTCAATGTGTTCAGTTAATTTATAAATTAAAATCGATTTTGTTCCAGTAATGAAAGAAAGTAGTACTACATCCCAAAATAATTTCATTTATATGCTTTTACGGCAAAGAATATATAGTTCATGTTATTTCTCTCTTTTGTGGACAATCACACAATTCCACTTTCTTCATCTTTTTGCCAAGTCCAGAGAAAAACGTTTTTCATGGAATCATGGGACAGATGGAAGATAGTTTGTCATTTCTTTTATAGACGAGTGTTCTCATTAGAGATTAACCATTTAACCCCACCCGAGAGACAAGTTCAAATGAAACCTGAGGGTGACCCCTTCAATGAAACCTGAGGGTGACCCCTTCACAATAGATTAGACTTGATCTGTGAATACCAAAAATCCAAAAATGGCCAAAAAGTCCAGTGTTTGAACATACGCACTCTGAAGAATTAAAATTGAAAAATTCGTATTTTTCAATGAAAAACTTTATATTGAACAGCACCTTATAACAGCACCCACATTACTCTTGTGGAGGTGAGTATAGTGACATCTGGATTGATTTGTCAGTTTCTTTAAAGTTGTAATTTCAACTTCCATGTTCGTTGACAAATGTTGCTAACTATGCCAGTTTCCTGTTTGTACAAATTTGGATCCATCGTGCATTCGTGCATACATCAAAATTTGCTTCCTACTTTAATATTCTCTATCAAACACGGAGAAATTCATCCAGGGGAATACCTTTCTCTTTTGCAGCTTCTTTTGCCAACTCTCCAGTAGACGTAGATAGACCCGCATAAGATTTCCATAGCTTGATTGAAAATGGATATATCGACAATGCACTCCTATGAAAACTAATGCATATCTCCTCACAGTTCATCAGGCAAATCAGAAGACTCGCAGCTTCTGCCCATACATACTCTGGTGCAACAGGGACTGCTTGAAAGAGTGCATTTGACAAGAGAGAGCCTGCCCAGAAAGAGACACTGGCGGAAAAGGAAGCCTTTCGGCTGCTTACCCACTTGCTGACGGAAATCGCTAGAGGATAGTTAGATGGGAGAATTTCCATCAAGCTCTCGACAAAGTCAACCATATCAGTCAATTTATCGGTTGTGCGTGGTAAGAGAGACGGGCCAAACCACGCTTTAAGGATAGAATTCACCAGCGTAGGGTCTGATGGAATGGGACTCAGCAGTTTCCCTGCCAGCTGCCGGAGTCTAGGCTTCTTCAAGTTTCGGATGAAGTTTCGGGTCAATGGGTCAGACACGGGCGAAGAAGCACGGGTATCAAACAGGTAGCCTTTCACAACTTGTAAAGCGCTTCTGTCTGCTGATGTTATCAGGAACATAATAAGCTCCCTAACACAGTGATTGTAACACTCGGTATTATCAGCGGCATCCAACGCTTTATTCAAAGCCACACGAGCCTCAGTTGGATCATTTTTCATTAGTAGCTTATAGATAGCATAATTGAGTAAACCAAACACAACATCAGTTTGGGTAAAACTGGAAAGCCAAGAACTAACATCCGAGATTGAACCCGATTCAGGCAAATCATTCGACCGGAACCATCTATCAATTAATTCCTTCACGATATCCAATCTCCCGTCTCGGAACACACATTCTGCGTACTGGTTCCAAACGCACTGAACCCCAGGAACCTCATCAATCCAGTTACCCAAAGCTTCTTCAAACCCTTCATAACTCCTCGAATCCTGAAACTCGTGTTCTACTCTAGCTGACATTAGAGCAAGTTCTAAAGAAGACGGGTAAAGCTTCTTGTATCGCTCCAGAAGATTCCTGCCACAGTCTATCCCTTCAAGAACGGCAACGAACTTGACATGATTCAGAGCAAATAAGTGTGCCGCACTTAGATTTAATTCATCCTCAAGAGACTCTCTATCGATATGCAACACTAGTGAATCTACAGCTAATTCCATCAGGGAGACCACTTGCTGCTTCTCGTCAGTAGTTAACTGGGTAGGCGGCCACTCTATGGAAGAAAGCTCTTTCTGGGATTCAAGCTGGTTGGCTATGGAATCTGGTAATCTCCTATACACGACGATGTATACACAGCAAACCCAGAAAATGCATTTATCAGAAATGGTTAAGCGAGGGATTATGTCAGGGAAGAACAAGTTATTATGTGGGTTGTTAGGTATGTTTGTTGTGGAGAAGAGATCATTGATCTTCTCAATGGCTTTTCCAATGTTTCCAGACATGGCCAGAAAATTCATCATCTGGAGAGTGAGGTCAAGGATGCATTCGCTGGAAAAGGCATCTCTTTTTGAAATGTTTTGGCAAAGTGAAGATATTGCAGCATCATATGCAGTTAACCGCTCATCAAGTGTTTCACGGCTATTAATATATAACACCCACAGTTCATATGATTCTTTGCTATGTTCAACCTGCGAAGCAAAATATCAGACCCAAGCTCAAATTAAATACTCTTAATAACCTAATAGACTAATACACTGATACAGACCTGGACAGATTAGTGTTAATAATAATAATAATTGTACAGGAGTATAAATAGAAGCTAAGGGAGTAATAAGAGGTTGGGCAGAATTTTGGGAATAG